TCGTCGACATCAGACACCGTAAAGGAAATGCTACTACAAAAAAATAACGAAGTTTCATATAAATTTCTAACTTCCATTTTGTACCCTTTAAAATTTCATACTTCTAGACCCAGCGCTTGCATTGCATGCTATGCGTTGATCGATCAGTCAGCAATCAGTCTGGCTGTTTCTTCTAGAAATAGACAAAGATATAGTTAAAGAAATGTACCTCTACCTTACATGCTCGTATTATTTTGCCTTGTAATGTAAAGCCAATATTAAGTCTATAATATATAATAATATTTGGACATTTGGACATCTAACTAAGTTTCAAACTAAGCAGAGCTTGTGCTATGAAAGCTAGATTGACTGATAGAATACTTATATACTTTTTTTTGTAAATACATACATAAAAATCACCCAAACTCCGAAACAAATACTTGTAGATCGAGGGTTCGATTCCCGGGTCGGACCAAATGTTTGTACATTTGGTCCGACCCGGGAATCGAACCCGAGACCTCAGCACAGCAGTCGTATACGCTACCACTGCGTCACCGAGGCAGTCAAGACAAAGTCAAGTCTGAAAGAAAACTAAGGTAAATTCTCTTTCCTGTAGGTTTTTAAATAACTTGTTAACAATTTTTTATTAATGATTTCAAATTTAGTTTTTTTGTTGGTATTTTTTACCAAGTTATATTCAGACTATTTTTCATTCATAAAATCTTATTTAATAACAAGATAACTTCTTATTATTGTCTTAATAACTCGGTTTCAAAATAAGCCTTTAATAAATTATAGTTATGGAAAACAGAAAACAAAATTGATGGCCTCGTGGCTGCATTATCAGATCGCCTCCTAAACATGCAAATCACTTAATTACGCAACATATCAGTAAATGGACAAAAATATGGATCTTTCTTCGGGAACGGAACCCTAACAATATATCACTTTCAAATCCTGAAATAATAGAATCAATATGCTATGCAATACGATGAATGCAAATGCAGATAATGGAACTTAAACAATTCAGACCTTCTCGGTAACTAATTCAGTTCCGAGAACCGTGATTGGTCATTTAAATTGAAATATTATGGAATTGAATTCTGTTCTCAAGATGAATATTAATGAAGTATTTTATCTGACAGCCACCGCATCAATAGAACTCATTGACTAAAGAATGAGATTATAGGGAGGGAAATGTAATAAGAGATTTTTAAATGTAGTCTTTTTTTGTCTGACTGCGATGGAAGGTTATGTTTTTCAAGTATAATATGTTTTGTAATAATACTCGTATGTATGTATATTGCTCTAAGGTGGTCTAGAGTCTGAACGTCTTGATAGATATTGGCGTTTGAGGTGTTGTTAGATTCTTTTGGATTGTAAGAGTGACCTCAGTGTTTAAAAATAATAAAAAAATTAAATATAGGATTTCATAAATGTCCTACAAACATATAAAGTTTATTTAAACGTCATCAGGATGGTAAAGAAGATATACAATATAATTAAGTTTGTGATTTTGTAGTTTTTTGTTTTACCTATAATTAACTTTTTGTCAATTTTGTTTTAAAAGAAGTTATTAGGATATACATATTATTTTAAATTTGATGTCATAATTGGCCAGTTTATGTCACAGTTCCAGAGTAATGTCCAATCATACCACTGACATATGGGTCGAGCGGATGGAAGAGCACAGCGTTTTAGAACTACTGTAGATTTAGTCCCGTTTCCTGATCCAAGACTTATGATGTCTCTTCACTTTAACTGTTTTTCTAATTACTGTTTACCTTCTTTTTCCCGTTTACAGACTATAACATTCTCAAGGAAATTTGTGTATCAGACAGGCGGACGGCATTGAAGGAAATCAACGAAAATCCAATTTAAAATTAACATAAGATTACGACTATTTGAGTTATGTTTTGAATCGAAATATGCATTTAAAATTTTAGAATAACAGCCGTTGGTCTAAATGGGTAGGTATGCAAGTGTCTTGCTAAATATTATGTTGTGCATGTTAAATGTTCCTCGCTTTGCATTCTCTATCGTATATATCATGGAGAGTGCTCCAAGGAATTGTTCGGACTAATACCGGCTATATTAGATTTCTTTATTTTTGTAACACATAGATTTTTTTATTTATTTATCTTATTTATTCACATTTTACGTGTACACCATTACTAAATTATGCATACACAAAGAATATATACGCAAAGAATATAAGGTACCTGCTATTTGGAAAAAAATATATTTCTAAAACTGTAAAATTACTTATACGAGACAGTAAAACTTCAACAAGTTATAGCCACTCAAGGGTTGAGTATTACGCTTAAAATATGTTGGTAATAATGTAATGTAAGATCTTATAATAAACCACCTTAGTAATTATAAAAATGCGTACCTAACAATACTACAGAAACATAATTATTTTTATGTTGGGAACTTATGTATGAGCGTTAAAATTGAGGTTATTTATTACCTAACTAGTATGGCTTCTCAATCAGCGAGCTTTTAAAACGCTTTTTTTGGTTTCAGTTGTAACCAATTACGTGAAAAATACGATTTATAATTACTTTAGATGATATTACTATTATGTAGAATCGATAGGGCCGGAGGCAACTACTGGAACTTTTCAATGGATTTCAGTAAGTAAGAGTTGAGCTTATATGATTCTGTTTGACGAGTCCAACATAAATAACATTGGTCTTATAACAATGGTCTGAATACGCAGTAACGATGGTCTGATGATCAACCCAGGAGGTAAATACTGAAACACTTTTATGCTTTTTAATTCGGTGCGTAATCAAAACTATTCTAATATTTATTACCTAACTAGTATGGCTTCTCAATCAGCGAGCTTTTAAAACGCTTTTTTTGGTTTCAGTTGTAACCAATTACGTGAAAAATACGATTTATAATTACTTTAGATGATATTACTATTATGTAGAATCGATAGGGCCGGAGGCAACTACTGGAACTTTTCAATGGATTTCAGTAAGTAAGAGTTGAGCTTATATGATTCTGTTTGACGAGTCCAACATAAATAACATTGGTCTTATAACAATGGTCTGAATACGCAGTAACGATGGTCTGATGATCAACCCAGGAGGTAAATACTGAAACACTTTTATGCTTTTTAATTCGGTGCGTAATCAAAACTATTCTATTTTATTTATCATTCTATATTCTTATTTTGACATGTCAAGACTAAATAGAAGTGTCACTAATTAATTATGTTTAGAGGCACCCCATAAATCTAAGACCACGGTTTGGTGGTTCCAGGATGTAAGCGACGGCGGAGTGATTTTTCCTTACAATTTAAGTCTGAGGCTGATTTAAAATTAAGGTGCTGCTGGTCAATAAGAATATTTATATGCATGATACAACGGTATGTTTTTTGTTCATATAATTGCAGGCACCCGCCATCGCAGGGTGTTACTGCCTTCCCTAGTACCTCCAATATCTATAATTTGAAGTCATTGTCCAACCATATCCTTTCCTTACTTTCTCGCATTTTCGCTTTTATCCTTGTTCTTTTTCTCTCTCATACCTTGCACGTGGTCTCTGTTGTTTGCTACAAGTTTTCTTTATTATTTATTCATATTTTACATATTTGTAGGGCTTAATTTTGTTAACATATTATACTATTTTGTAGGTACTTCCATAATTAATTTACTTATGACTAATTTATATATACTTTTACATGGGAAGTACGGTATGTTTATTTAGGCGTATAATTGATATGTAGATATGTATGTATTAAAAGAGATATATGTATGTGTTCCCATAGGAGAAGTTATGCTTTTGTTTGGGATAAGATGGAGTCGTTTAATATTGCCCAGATTAGAAATATCTTGTATTAGCCTGTTTCTGAGGGAAGTTCTCGAGAAAATGCCAGAATTTTTGAGCTCAAAGCGTACTTGTAAAAAAAACTATTTTCATTTTGATAAGTCAAGTTCTCCGCCTAGTTAGGGCCCCCACATACTCTTGTGTCAACATGAGACGAATTTAATTAACTATGTATTTGTTCCACATGCGCCCCTGCCACGCAATGAACAAATATACATACCTTGTTGACGTTTTAATTAATTCTTACACGGCACGTATTTAACTATGTTTGTATATAGGCATATTTGCGTATACATATATGTTCTAAAGTATATATAACAAATGTGTAAGTATACAACAGAACTGCAGACAGAAGGAAAACTTGACACAAACCCTATATCAACCCGTCTGGCCAGCGTATTATAGTAGGCCAAAACCTCCTTTCTAAGGAGAGGCTTATGTCCAACATTGGACTAGTAAAGGCTGTTGATGTGATGTGATGTGTGATGTGTAAGTAATATTATTATCATCATCATCAACAGTCTTTACTAGTCCACTGCTGGTCATAGAGCATGTTCTTAGAAGAAAGTTTTGGCTAACTATATCACGCTGCCCAGACGGGTTTCTCTTTGCAGTGCTGTTGTTTTCTCCCTTAGTCGGCTCTTACGACACCCACAGGATGAATAAGGGTGGTGATACTATGTATTCATGATCCGTCACCACTTGGTAAGAAATATAGCTTCGATAAAATGACTGCATGGATGGCATAGCGGTTGAAGCGGTCGCTACGCCGCTCACTACTACGCTGAGTGTTGTTGGTCCGATCCCCACATGGGACGACACTTTGTGTGATCATAAGAGTCTGGGCGTACTTTGTGTCCGTTTCATGTATGTTTGTAAAGTCCCCTTCGACACAGGATATATTCCTAATGCGTGAGTTGTCTTTAAAAAAAAAGAACCCGTAGAAACCCAGTGCTTTAGATTCTAAAATATTGAAAATAAAATTTAACACGAATTGGAATATTTTCAACGAATTCAAATAGTACCGATCTAATTTAGAATCTGTTCAATAAAAATAATCAATGAAATCAATTTACATACGAACATACATTGCATAACGTATGCAAAAGAAAATAAGTCGAATTGAAAACCTACTAATTTTGAAATCGATTAAAAATAAAACTACTCTTAATTCTTACCTTTGAATGGAGCAGAGTATATCGGTAGGCCTGAAGACAAGTGCGAAGGTCACGAGATAGCACATGAGTATCCCGGCAAGGAGGACGTAGGAGAGTTCTCTGCCACTCGCACGAACAACCGGGGTCGAGCTGTGACGTACCCATACTCCGCACACGAAACTGTACAAACAAACAATTAACGACAACGGAAACATTAACTGTAAAAAGAAATAAAGCAAAAACCATTGGATTGGTTAAGAAAATTGAGAGCATTTAGAAGGATCTAGAATCTTCTTCTTAAAGCTCAATTAAAGCTGGATATACATCTACCTAAAGTTGAACTGCACGGGTGAGTAACAGATGAAGGTATCTTCGGCTACATTAAAGCCCTTAGCCTCTCATATATATTATCTGTAAAATTATCTACTTCAGACAGGTCATAAATCGCAAAACAATAAAAACAACCTCTTTTGGAAGTCGTTCATAAATATGTCGTTCGATTAAACATGCTGAAAAGGGCTTTTTGTAAATGTTTATCTAATTTCCTAGAAATAATATTCAGCATTGAGAACTTTAAGAATCGCTTGATCCACGTATTACTGCGTCATAACATAATTATGAGTACCATAATGCTCGGCATCGTGGCTATAACTTACTAATAAATTCATTTCAGAACCTATCAATGCCTCATAAAAAGTCTATGATTCTAGTGTCTGCCAAGTTTCAAAGATTCATTCCTTCAAAGATCAAAGTTATGAAAGAAAATAAGTCTTGTTAAGTCCCATCACGTACGTGTTCGAGATTATATGGATCAATCTTTGAGACTTGTAGTCGATTGCTGTCATCAATCATGAATACTGAATCGTTAAATGGGATGAATATAAATGCTTGAAATATTTCATGTTCTAGATATACTCGGGAGCACTTGAATATTCTAAAAATAACAGTGAATTATCATAAATATTTCATCTAAACATCTCATCGCGATATTTAATAACCTTCTATACGAAATTATTTTTGACTCAATGATCAAGCTACAAAGATTAATATTTAACGAAGAAAAAGCACAATTTCTTTAGGTTTTTTAATTGGTATGTAACTATAAGACCATCTAGTGGTTTTTCAACCATGGCCAGTATAGATTAAATTGTTATTGTCCAGACTTATGTACAACAGTCTTTAGTAGTCCACTGTTGAATATAGGCGTACTATACCACGCTGACTAGACGGGTTGGTATACGGATTGTTTCAAATTTTCCTTCTATTTGCAGTGTTGTTGTCCTGCGTAGTAACAGTCCACTCTCAAGTGGTAGTCACAAGGGTGAACAAGGTTGGTGACACTCCGTATTCTTAATCCGTCTCCACACGTGATATATATTTAAAACTTTTAGCTTTTTGTAACACTTAATGCTTTGTTTGAAAAGTTTAGTTTTTTTGCACTTCTTTTGTATCTAACTGTAAGTATTCTAACAATGACAATAAGCATTTATAGAGGTAATGCATATAAAATCATTACTCAAATTAGAAAGATGAAGAGTTTGTTTTTATGTTTGGCTGGACGCGCTAATCTCAGGAACTATTTACTGGATCGAATTGAAAAAAACTTTTAGTGTTAGATAGCCCACTTATCGAGGAAGACTATAGGCTATATAACATCACGATAGGAACAATAGGCGCCGATAAAAAAATAAAAATGTTGCAAATCAGGGAAAAATTATTCCTGTTGCAAATAACAAGTAACACATAATACTAAAATCGAATTTCAACCACCAAGTGATCTAGTTTCCTTATTATTAAATGATTTTAATAACAAAATATATAACATTGCAAAAACTTACGCAGTAATAAGTATTCCGACTGATGAAAAGGACATAGCACCGATGGCCCACGCTGAATCTGGTCTCAGGTAAGCTTCGGGGATTGGACGGCAGTAAGTCTTCGTCAGGTCAGGTAAGGTGCCTCTTGGACACACCGTGCACTGGGTCTCTTCCGTAGACCGAATCTAAGATTAGGAGGAAAACTTTTTTTTTTTCTTTTATTGTTTCTTGTAAGATCAGTTAATATTCTAGTGCAATTCACATGAATTGAACTGGCCGATGGCTTGTTGTCCGCTTTTTATTGAAGTCGGAGATCGTGGGTTCCACTCAGTGCCAAATAATCGTATGATTAGCACGACCATGAATGTATGAATTTAGAAATAATATAGTATGTTTTATCCTGCTGATACCATAGTACAGGCTCTGCCTAGTTTAGGATCAGGCTGCTGTGTGTGAGATGTGTGAAGTTATTCATTCTCCAAACCTGTTCCCAAAGCGCAAACTAGGTTAGGGTCAGGGTTTCAGTCTGCTATGACACGGCTGACCTTCGATTTTTACGTGGAGTGCCTGCTGTCAGATCTCCACAACTCAAGTACTAGGCGTTATCGAAGTTCTGTAGATAGACTGTTATCGGACATTTTAGAGTTCTAACTACTCGTAACGATTTCCTCAGATGTTCTTATTATTAATAATGCGAAACTTGCGGTATTCCTTACGATATATTTATAAAAATAACAATACCGTAGAAAAAAGAAACGTAAACTTGTTAAAGTGTAACTTTTAAAACAAACTGCTTTTATTCAAATACGCCAACAGGTGGAAGTTCATAAAATTCTATTAATGTTTTGAAAAGATTTATGAGAATGAAGATTTACTACGGAACATGGCATGATAATGAAAATTTACTGCCAGTGATCTAACTTGAACATCGCATAATAAGATACACGGTTAAGTCTATATTTCAGTAAGTTCGAGCAAGTAATAGGTTTCCATGTCACGCAATTTACTTCATTATCAACAACCTGTAGTAGTCCACTGCTGGACATAGGCCTCTCCTTAGAAAGGAGGTTTTGGCCTACTATACCACGCTGGCCAGACGGGTTAGTATAGGGTTCGTGTCAAGTTTTCCTTCTCTCTGCTAGCTTGTTCTGAGTAGTTTGCTCCCTTAGTCGGCTCTTACGACACCCACGGGATGAATAGGGGTGGTGACACTCTGTATTCTTAATCCGTCACCAAACGGACTTTACTATACATAAGTTGTTACTTTAGTTGAAGTTAAAGTGCTGGCAAAATCATTATTGTTTTCGTGCTCTTTTTCCAATTCTGTTTAGGGTACACGTAATTTAGGTTTTGAATGGTTTCTTTTGGGGCCTTTTTTGGAAATATCATCGTTTTCCGATGGGATAGGGGAAAAGGGCAAATTGGAGTAGAAATAGATAGTGCGAAAGAGCTAATCTAAGGTGGACTAAAAGGTTTTGGATGGGGAAATAGGGCTGAGTTTAATGGTTTTGTGTACATCTATGTTAGTTTTCTAATTAGAGACGTCACCTAGGCCGGACCTTAAATTGGCCATAATAAAGTTCTTATACGTGTATTATATTTATTAAATGCTGTAGTCAAAAAATAATAATTTGGAAGTTGATGACTAATAGAGTATAAGAAGAACAAAGATGGATAGATTGCCACTCAATAAGCAGTGGAATAGGGTTGGATGATGATGTATTAGAGAAAAACGTTCAGCCAACACGAATTTTTGAAAAAAAAAAGAAAATAATGATCATTTAGGAACGTGTAAGACATCCAGTTGTAGACCCAATATCATGAATTAGAATAGATTTAAGTTTCGGAAAAGTAAGATGGAACAGCATGTGGCTTCAGCCAGTAAGAGTTTGACGTTCCAAGTTACCATTTGATCTCGGCGAGGTACCCACCGGTTGGGAATTCCACACCAAAATACACGAGGTTTATGTAAATACTTACTCATTTACGATTAAGGTGACATTTTAAAATGGCATCTTTATGGGTCGAAACTTTTTACATTTACCTCGTATTGAGTACAATTGAAGCAGTGCCAGCAACAACTCTCGCCTTCCACGTACTGCTTGGCCTGTCCCAGCTCACACTCGGCGCTGCACACCGACTCCGGCGGACGACGTTCACCCCATTTGAATTGAATACCTAAAAAGTGTAGTGTTTTAGCATGGGCCTGTTAGTGTAATGGTTAGTGACCCTAACTGCTAAGCCGGAAGTCGTGGGTTCAATTTACACCCAGGACAAATGATTGTATATTTTAATCTGGGTCTGAAATATTTAAGTATGTTTTTCAGTAGTCCGGTTACCATAGCAAAGGGTCTACCTAGTTTGGGATCAGACTGCCGTGTGTGAGATGTGTGTAGTAATTATTAAAATTATTATTAACAGTAGAATTAATTTAGATTATAGATGTCTCTACTCTTAATAATTCTCTAGTCCACTTGTTGTCATTAGGTTGAATTAATAAATCAGGTAAGATTAATCCCTTATGAGTTTTTGGTGACTCTAGACATAGATACGATAGTCTGTTAGAGTTGGTTAACTACTATCTATTGTTGTAAAATGCGAACTGTGGCAATGAGCCACAACTTCTGGAGGACCTATGGTCATTAGAACAAACGAATCGGAATCAGAAACTGGGAGATAAGATAAGAAAGGGAGTTGTCAAATGGATTGTATCCGCCTTAGGAATATATCCCTTGTGTCGGGGGACATTACAAACATACATGAAACGGACACAAAGACCACCTAGACTCAGAACAACAATTTGTGGATCACACAAAGTGTCGGCCCATCTGGGGATCGAACCCACAACATTCACCTAGTAGTAAGCAGCGTGGCGACCGCTTAAACCACTACGCTATCCGTGCAGTCAATTAGTTGCTTGATGCTCACAAATGAATGTTTGAGTTGTTAGTGTAACTCATCTGTTACAGTGCAATACAAAGTTACTTACGATTCAAATCTAGCTGCAACTCCCCATCCAGGTATTGTCCGACATTTACCCAGCGGTAGATTCCTTTAGATGTTTGTTTGAAGTGCAGGATATTGTATCTGGCTGGGCCGTCGCCGTTGTTGTCGAAGTGGAACTCGTCGTTACTCAGACCTTTGACACAAAGTACAACATATGTTAATCTATATACTCGATAGTAAAATACCTACAAACAAAAAGCCATTTGCAATATTCGTTGCGCCGACTTCAAACAGAACTGTAAAATTGCAGGAAAAGATAAACCAAGAAAAGAGCGTACTCCTTCCTAAAAGGCCGGAAACGCATTTGTGACTCCAGAGTTGCAGACGTTCATGGGCGGCAATGGTCACTTTCCTTCAGTTAACCCGTCTGCTCGTCTGCCCCCTCTAACATAAAAAAAATGAAAATATATGTAAAATAATTATTTTGATGAAAAAAATAAAACAAAATTATTGAAAGTCATTTAAAAATTACAATATCCTATTAAGAATTGTGTGCATATTGCATGAAATGAAATGATTTACAGCTAGATGGAGGCGGCATTTTCTAAGACTCACGCCGGCAGTTCATCTTTATTTCTAATGTTTTTTTGGTGAATGTCGTTAAGCTTTGTGAATAAATGAATATTTTTCTTTACATGCACTAAATTTTCATATATGTACATACTGAAAGGACTGTCAAAACAATGTAATATGTATTGTACATACAAAACACTTAAAAAAAAAAAACAGGCTATTTCTCGAGCTTGCATTTTTTGCTGTAATACATCGCCCGTGGATATTTCAACTGTCAAAAGTGCATGTCTTTCTTACAAAAAGGTAAGAAGTGTAATAACGAAGGTAACATTTTGTTGAGAAGTAATAAAAATTTTAATAAAGCCGACGTGCTGGAAACTATTTTCTTCCAGTTTGAACCGACCCCAAAGGAAGGTAAAGTTTGAGACAAACTTTTAGTTCTCTGTGGCATTATTTATGAGACTTCCAATTAGTTAAAGTTAAGAGTCAATTTGTTCATTTACAGTACGAACATAATTTGCTACAATAGTCAACTGGTACAATTTTTTAAATATTTGGACATCATATATTTAAAAACTAACTTAGCATAAGAAATTCCATAAGAAATGCTGGATGCGAGAAGCCGAAAATCGATCGAAGTGGCGTGCAATGGGAGAGGCCTATGTCCAGCAGTGGACTGCGATAGGCTGATCATGAATGATGATTGTAATTAAAAAATTAAAATGTACTGCCTATAGGTCAACGAGACACAAAAATTTCGCTTACTTTTGATATGCTATGAACACAAGTCCATATGTAAAATGTAGAAAGAGTTTAATTATTGGATATATTAATGAATTAGAATCAAACATTTTATTTTAATTTTAACTTTCATTTTTAGTAATGATTAGAACTCAATAGACATTTTAATAATAACTATATTCCTAGTAAAATATGTACCTATATATAATGTTGATAATTAAATAGTTGGAAAATAATTATATTTGTGCGTGACAAGCGGAACACACGGACATTAAGATTCTTTTATATTGCCTTAATATTATTTATTTACATGTTTCAATTTTTCACAAAGAAATGGCGTCGATAAGGCCAGAAAACATTTCTGTTAAGTTTAGAAACGTTGTTTCTCATTTTCTACCGATTGTTTTACAATTTAGAGGGTGTTCATAAGTGCAGTCATCCCTCTTCATCAAGTCATCATCATCATCAACAGCCTATAATAGTCCACTGCTGGACATAGGCCTCGCCTTAGAAAGGAGGTTTTGGCCTACTATACCACGCTGGCCAGACGGATTGGTACAGGGTTTGTCTCAAGTATTCCTTCCGTGTCAGTAGACCTCTTTTAATATAGCTAAGCTTCCTCGTAGCTAAGACACACAAGACTTAGATGTATTGGCCTGATACTAATAGGCTAAAAATATAAACTGAACACGTATTCCGGAAAATATAAAGTCTATAGTAGAAAAACTGTATTTGCGACTATTTTGAAGTTTACAAAGCAAATATTTAACTTTCACAAAATACAGCTTTGTTTATTTGCCAACTAACTTTCACAAAATACAGCTTTGTTTATTTGCCAACTGGCCAAAGCTTACACTGATTTATAGTCAAAGGACAGGTAATACAATATTGGTACACTCGGGTTGGCTGAAAATTCATTTTATTTACACGAAATAAAATACTATAGTTGTATTTTTATTTGGCTATGGTCTTCACCATTTTTGGTGTACATATAGAAAGCGGATAAAGAATTCCACACTTTATTTTAACGCTTTAACAAATACACCCAAAAAATGAATAAACTATACGGAATATTTAAAGTTTTGATGTAAAAAATGCAGATACTTTATTGTATTAAGTAAATGCATGCTTTTAAAGTGCTCCGGTCAATATTTGACATTTTCTGGCATGGTACAAAAGCTATGCAAAGACCATGAAAATACCAAATCAATATATTAAAATGTTTAAAACGTTTGAAATTTGATCACCAGGCGACCTCGCGTACATATTTTCATAATCATAATTTTAAACAGTAGACTTCTGTTAAAATTAAACTTTAGTACGTACAACAACGGTTGCAAATCTTCCCTCTTACATAATATCAGCTGTTCTTTGGCAATGAATTCTGTTTAATCAACAAAATTACTCTGAGTTTCAATTTGATACTTTAAGCAGGTACTTGTAAACACCGTTTATATCCGTGGAACCAAAGTAAAGGATTACATTAAGTAGTTAAAGATAATGGTTTTATAAATCCGTGTGTAATTACAATTTAGATTTAGTAAAGGATCAGTGGGAACTGTGCGTAGGCTAATACACATTAATCAACCTATTGCCGTCTACTGTTAAACGAAGGCCTCCAAAGAGCGCCAACTATCAAGGTCATGGGCAGTTCGCACCCATTCGCATCCAGCCACTTTTTTCAAGTTGTCAGGCCATCGTGCCGCAGGGTGCCCTTCGCTATGTTTGCCTAATCGCGGTCCATTCTAGCACGTGTCGGCTCCATCGACCACTAGTCCATCTAGAGATCAAGCAAGCAGAGTAGTTATAACGTAAATCGTACGCTATGTTTGTATTTCGACATTCGTTACAGCCCCAATTCAATCTTATCGGAACCGAAGTCGGAATCAGAGGTATTAAATCAATCGGAAATACCGACCTTTCGGAATCGAATTCGAGTATCTATAACATCCCTAATGGCAATTAATCGATCAGTGCCACGCCATCACACTAATTAAATGACGAATTACAACTTGGATAGTACATTGGTTCGTAAATTTCAGTCTAATTAAAGCATTATTCAATTAATACAATAAAGACACTGTAAATGATTGATTCCAATCATTGTGATTTTATTTCATGTTGAAAATGAGGTGAAATTCCAAAACATATTAAAATTAAACGTATTATTTTATTTTACACATACAACCTATATTAGTTGACGTTTTTGTTAGCAAAAGACCTTTATACTTACATACAATAATAATTTATTTTATAATTATGAAAATTCTTATATACTTTTAATGAATTTAGAAACATATTTTAATAAAAACGTGGAAGAAAAATAGATACTCTTAGAGCTATTTTTGAAATGTTTGTTTTCAACTGGTTCAAATACTATTTAAATTGCTTTCATAATTGTATGATCTAAGTTCTGAGAATCGTAGAATAAAAATAAAATTTGAATTTAGCTTCAACCCGCCTAATGGTAAATCATATAAATAAATGAAAGCTTTAACGATAGTCCTCAGTTAGACGCCCTTAAACTATGCTTTTTAATACCCTGAAATCTGCTGATAAAAATCATTTGAGGTTTCTTGTTTACTCATTAATATTGTTTTTTTTTTGGTGCAAATAATAACAAAAGAAAGGTCGTTTTAAAGAAATATAACGATAGAGTATTCTAAATGTTAACTGTGTGAAAAAGAAATGAACTGCTGATCCGTTTGGTTTTTATTATTATTATTTTGCTTCTATTATTTATTTATTTATTTGATCTTGGAAGACCAACAGCTTTGATTCCACGAATTGATTTAATATTGTATAGGTTTGATTCAGCCATTAACGGGTCTTCACGAATAGAAAACAGTTTACAATAAGTAAGTGTGAGGATTTAGTATTTAAAAGCGATTTAATAAGTAGTTAATATTATACACCTTAGCCTACTATGTATAATGCTATATGAACAAGAGAAAAGACTTGCTTGGTGACAAGGGTCCAATAGTGATAGTTACTCAATGAAGCCTACAGAAATTCGATAAAACTGACGATGTTTTCTAGTGGATTTTCCACGGAGTAAGGGCTTGGTTTCTTATCCAAAGAACACCGCTGCTCTGGCTATAAAAATCTCCTCACTTTGTTCAGGAAACTGTGTTAATTAACTGAGTTAGAACGTTCTTGTTTTAGTTTTAATTATTCAATTAAGAATGGACAGCAGCAGATCCAAGTATTTCGACTTGCAACTTGATTGCAAACAACATAAAAAAAGCTACCAAAATCAAGTCAGGCTAAAAAAAACAAATCAAAACTTGGCAGAACAAACAGTTAAAATTACATTTTTACGTATTGTGTTCACACCAATATTCGCTTCCATTTTCATTTGTCGTTTACGACACAAGCTGACGTTGGGCGCAATTTCAAACGTTCTCTGTACGTTGTATTTCAAATCCGTTGTATTACCGTGGGAGAGCCATGCTTCGGCACGAATGGGCCGGCTTGGCCGGAGTGATACCACGGCCTCACAGAAAACCGGTTTTAAGCAATTCTTCCGTTGCCTATCACTGAGTGAGTGAGGTCACCGGAGCCCAAATCCCCCCTGACTCGAGCGGGAGGTACTCCAAGGGCAGCAACGCACTTGTGACTTTTGAGTTGCAGGTGTCCAATGGCGGCGGTAGTTGCCTACCGTCAGGTGACCCGTCTGCTCGTTTGCCCCCCTATACCGTAAAAAAAAGAATCCAGTTTGTAAATTTTTAAGCCTTACCGGTGAATGTAACGTTTCTCAGGTATTTCAGGAGATCAGCTCCGCTGGGTGGCCGCATGATGTCACACAAACCTGATCGAACTCCGCATACAGCAGCGTGCATGTCCCTGGGAATATAATAACTAATGAGTAAAATAACTAGTGTTTGAAACTATTAATAAGTGCTTCGTATATTCTACGAGTATAAAAGATCAATTATAATAAAAATATAGTAAAGGTTTGCTGCACGGATGGCGTGGTGGTTTAAGCGGTCGCCACGACGCTTACTACTACGGTAAGTGCTGTGAGTCCGATCCCCACATGGGACTACACTTTGTGTGATCCACAAATGAACGCCTAAAACACAAGCGCGTTGCCAGCCTTTGAGGCATACTTCTTGTATGCTCTTTTCTTAAAGGTCGTATCGGTCCGGAAATACCACAGCCGTTAACTTGTTTCATAGGTTGGTAATGCGAGGCAAAAAGTGTCTTAAAAAGCGCATAGTGGTGGTTCAATTATTTAAGTGGTGGGAATGAAAAGACAATAGACAGTCCCGAAGACTCCTTGCACGCTTTTACAGCTATGTCATAATGAGGCCATCTGCGTCTTGAATACATCCAGGTCGACACATTATGTGCACTTTTCAAGCCAGTTTCAGAGGGGCTGGAAATAATCAACCGTTTTAAAGAGTACTGGCTTATTTTCTTTTACTTTGTTTTGGTTTTTAGTATCGTAAAGACAGCGGAGAAACGCCTCACAGGGCTAATTACTATATACTTGAGAACTTGAGAGAATGTTAAAGTTAAAATAGACGCAATCAAGTTTTTTTTTTTTATTTAACCCATCTGGTCATTAGACCAGATGGGTCACTTAACAGTAACTGACAAAATGCCAAGTTTCGAGAAGTTGTAGAAAAGAATTCATCAAAACAGATTTCTATGGTTCGGCAGGTTCTTGTTTGAATGCAACAGACAAGGAAAATTGTAGAAAGTCTATTCCGCCCATTTTTAGTCTTTTGTAGTGTACTCTCCTTTCATAATTTTCTGTTTAGACTCACGACTTCAAGAAATGACCAGATCCTATGATAAGTAATTGTTGCATGATGTGTAACCATAGACTGTTATGCTCATACCACATTAGCGCCACAAGAGTACAGGATTTGATTACAGTTTCTGCCATTTTTCATAATTTGCTTGATGTGCCTATGCCTATCGTTGCACTTGATTGTGTTTCTTCAGTTTCCAGTATCTCTAGAACTTAACCTATATCTTCATAGAGGAGAAAACTAGGAGGCTTTACCTCACTGGTATTGTAAGTATATGTAACTGCTTACAATCGCTTAAGCACTTATGTTGTTAGTCGCCTCAGTTGTAAACAAATGCTGCTTGTAATGTTAACACGTGATTGAAATATAAATCAATCCCCGTTGTTCATGAATCCATCCATTTATCGGCCAATTGCAGTCCACCGCTGGACAAAATCCTTTCATAAAGTATGCTCTAGCACATGGTTTTGCCCTTCCATCTATCCCGGTGAATAATTCCCAATTCCCGATTCGTCAACGCCGCAGTCTGCAGTTTTTTTAATTCCCCATCGGTACCTGAGTACCTGGTTCCCCATCTCTGCCTCCTTTGCTCCAATCACGACCGAAATCTTCGGTCAACAAATAATATGCTTCTTCTTTGCCCCCCTCACACTTCCAACTTCATCAATTCTTCCTTCTATGTACAGCCAGTTCTTCTCTGGAATGCGCTACCAGTTGAAATCAGGACCGGTCAGGAATAACCGGTTTACGTTCAAGAAGAAAGTACAAAATCTTCTTCAAAATAAGTTGTCAGAAAGATCATAACGCTAGTACCCGACTGTATTTTGATATTTATGTATTTATAAATGTGTATGTTCATGTATTGTATGTGTATACGAGTACTTGACACCTGTATGTATATATACAGTAATGAATATAATAATTTATTTATAGTACATAGTGTATATATGTAAGTTAGATTTATCTTAAATTAATAAATTTAATATAAAAAAGTCAAATTCTCTGTTTTCTCTTGCACCTACAGCATCATTTTTCTACACCACCCGAAGGTCGACTGGCAGAGAATGCCTTGGGCACTAAGTCCGCCTATGTACAAAGTGTTCATTAAGTTAAATAAATAAATAAATTAATGAACCACGGGTCACACAGCCCGTCTAGATAGGGGCGTTCTACCTTTCATATACCTATTAGTAGTCTTCAATTTAGAAGATGTTATCTCAAATGAAATATATATTATCCGACTAAAAATAAAGCAGTAGTTTTATATTCCAGTAATGCGTCTGTTTAGTATAACTTACTAAGCATAGTTCGCAAGTAACATAACACGAATTTTATATCTTCACTAAGTCAGGCCTAAAATGTTGCTTACGAAACGGTTAATAAACCACCCGTTTCAGGGGTATCTTTATATTACATTACCAGGCGACGTTCCACTTAATACCTAATTATATTTTACTAAAATCAAGCTCTTTTATGTCTGTAAGTATTGATAGGTTTTATCAATGGTTTATTGCCTTTAAAAAGCCTAAGGAAACGTCTAAATAAACTAAAAGTTTCATATGTTTGATATGAATACAAATCGGTTAGGTTAAAGTCCAACCGGTTCATCATTATCATTATGATAATGAGAAATGGATTAGGTAAAGGCCTAACCGGCTCATCATTGTCATCATGATGATGACAAATCGGTTAGGTTAAAGTCCAACCGGTTCATTATTATCATAATGATAATGAGAAAAGGATTAGGTGAAGGCCTAACCGGCTCATCATTGTCACCATGATGATGACAAATCGGTTAGGATAAAGTCCAACCGGTTCATCTTTATCACCATGATGGTGACAACTAGATTAGGTTAAAGTACAACCGGCTCATCCATTAACATCATGATATTGCCTGATTATGATATGATATTGCCATGCCATGCGATGCTGTCAGTATCAGGCCATCTAGGTAATGTTTTACTTTTTATATATTAAAGAATATAAACTTGCAAAATGGATCCCACATTATTAGTGTTATTTTAAACCCCACGTGTATTAGCAGTGTTTCAATTAATATTTAACAATAAAATTGTCAATTTTATAACTCAACATTCGTTATAAAATGGTCATGCATAAATAATTCAATGCTTTTAACCTCCTATTGAAATACACCTGTAATAAATTCGTTTAGAGGTGATTATAGTCAGTACTTCAAGCTATTATAAACTTGAAGATTAACTTAATCTGTTTTTCAAGTTAATTCATCGCACTTAACCCACCCTGGACATATTTTTTTTTTGTAAAAAAGACAACTCCCGCTCTATGAATATATCATGTGTCGCGGGGAATTTACAAACATAGATTAAACAGACACAAAGAACACCCAGACTCAGAACAACCATTTGTGAATCACACAAAGTGTTGTCCCATGTCGGACCCACAACACTCAGCGCAGTAGGAAGCGGCGAAGGGACCGCAAATTTACCGTAATCTAAATTAAAATCTACTTTTCTGTAAAAACCTCGGGAAAATCCTTCTCTTCCACTCCAGCGAGGAATAGTCTTTAAATATGATATTAAAGTATTTCTATAGAGCTCTAATTATAGTTTTCTGTGTTCGAATTTAGTATGTCTTTTTTTTCTGGAACTATTTTTTTTATTCTATAATTTTTATATTTTTAATCAAGTGGTACTTTGATAACGTGTGGTGACGGATTAAGAATACAGACTGTCACCTCTCCTATTCATCCCGTGGGTGTCGTAAGAGGCGACTAAGCGAGCAAACTATACAGGACAACAGCACTGCAGAGAGAAGGAAAACTTGACACAAACCCCATACCAACCCATCTGAGGCCTATATCCAACAGTGGACTATTAAAGGCTGTTGATGATGATGATGGTATTTTGTAAAAAAATAGTACTGAAACTAAAAATAAAACTGAATATTGGCGAGTGAGAATCAGTATTATCTAACATTTTGTATAAATATAGAAATAATCTTCCATTTAGGCACACAAAGTCCAAAATCAATTATCAATAAAAATCAAAGTCGACAAAATCAAACTGCTAATTAACAATTAATTAAAACAGATAATAACGAGATTTTTCATATAGGGTATTTGCTTTAAAGAGGCACGTTATATTGTTCGAAGTTTACTCAAAATTAAATACGCAATATAACTCTCAGTCGAGTGAACTAATTGAAAATACATTTCGTTCCTGCCTTAATTTGTTCCCTACATGTCGTTTGTTTCTATAGCTACTCGTAACTCTCACGGAGTTAGACAGGATTACATTTTTGGGCTTCTATCCGTTTGAATAAATAGTAACTCTCGTTACATACGAATTAAGTTGAGCATTGATTGCACACTAATACTCTATTATTACAACAGTAGGTTGCCAGCGCCTGTGCAATTGAATGTGAACCTTATCAACACGCTAAAGAATGCTATTTATAATGATTATAATTGTCATGTTGTTGTTACAGTTTCTAGTAGTAAGTATACTCGTACACTTCCCTTCTATCTATCTTTTAGATCCTATCAACTCCATGGATGTTCTCTGGTTTAAAAGCAGCTGCGCTAAAATTGTATATTGCTTTCACCCTTAGGGGTAGAATTTGTTCTTCTTATTTGAATGAAGTCCAATGGGAAGTATCATCATCATGATCATCATCAACAGCTTTTACTAGTCTACTGCTGGATATAGGCTTCTCCTTAGAGATAAGGTTCTATACCACGCGGGCCAGGGTTGAAGGCCAAAACCTCCTTTCTCAGGAGAGGCCTATGTCCAGCAGTGGACTAGTAAAAAGCTGTTGATGATGATGTTGATGATGATGATACTTCCCTACTGATGGGTTGGTATTGGGGTTTTTCAAGTTTTCTTTCTTTGGCAGTAATAATAATAATAATAATATTGTACCACATTCACACAACGCCATCTAGTCCCAAACTAAGCAGAGCTTGTGCTATGAAAGCTAGATTGACTCTTCAAACTATTTATATTATCATCATAAAAGATAAAAAAAATAAGGATTGAATTACTGTACGTTCAGCTTTAATACCAAGCGTTACATACAAATTGTCAATTAATATGTTAGCTA